GTCCACAGTTTTGTGTTGGGCTTTTAATCGAAGTCCCGGACACCGGAAGTGCTTTGACTGTTCTCTGCTGTGATTGGTCGGAGTCCTGTCAATCACAGCAGGCCGTCTCTCCAGCAGAACGCGGATCATTAAGAGCTTCGGAATAACGGAGAGGTAGATTCATTCAAGCGGTCGGAGGTCTACCGGAACTAAAGTGCTCATGTGTTATTCGGTACCGGACASCGGAGACGGTCCGTGACGTCCCAGTGGAGGAGCTGAAGCGGCCGGAGCGGAATGCATCTCCGGAGCGGTGAACCTGTTGTCTGTGGTCCAGCAGCACAAAGCGGCCTGTGAAGCGGGCCCTCTCCGGTTCCTCCCTCCGAGCTGACGGATGATGCTCAAACATGTCGGGCAATTATTTCAAAGGCCACGAAGTCAGCTGCTGCATCAAATACTTCATCTTTGGATTCAACATCCTGTTCTGGGTAAGTCTGCTCTACAGGAGGCCCGGCTCATCACAGTCCGGATCTGGTCCTCACAGTCGGACCGGGTCTTTTGTCCAGAGATGGARCTCCTCGGTCCAAAGAACACACTGAGCTCCTTCATCCAGCTCACACACATGTTTGCTCTTCTATCCTCATGGGGACTTTGCATTGACTTCCATTCATTTACCCATCATCTCTACAGCCTGACCCTTTACCCTAAACCTAACCTAAACTCACACATTAGTCCTAAATCTAACCCCTGACCCAGCAGCTGTATCTCTCCCAGTGGGGACCAGGCTTTTGTCCCCACAAGGAACAGTGGGTCCTCACCAGGCTGTGTGTTGGCCACTGGGAAAATGGTCAGAAATCGTCGCCACCAGGTGACAAAAACATGCACACACACCTACACACACTTGTACTTGCATCAAACCGTGGACTTTGTATGTCCATTAATTTCTGTAACTGCATTTATGTCCAAACCAGACATTTCCCCTAAAACTAACCATCACTGGTCTATTTCTAACCATAACCTGAACCTAAACTTAATTCATAGCATACCTCTAAACCTGACTAGTAGAGAGCGCAGTAGAGCTGCAAAAAAAGTGAGAACCAGGAAAAATGTCCTCACTTTGTTGGTTAAAAACATATGACAGTCCTCAGTCTGTAGACAAGTACACACACACATGCACAGCTCATCTGCAGCCACTGATCCATGCTTTACCATGACATCATGTTTAATCAGTGATGTCATCTGTCGTTAATCACTGAATGGATCTGTGCATGGACCTGAAACACTTTAATGTCAGCTGACAGGTTGTTGTCAACATGTTCACATGTGCTCTGACTTTAACTGCAAAACAGTCAAAATAATTATTTATAAATATATCATTTATTATTGTTATTCACAGAGAAGAATCCTTATAAACAATATGTGATGTGATTTTGGCAGCAGTAATGAAATAGAAGTTGTGAATGAATAAATACCTTTTATTGTCTCATACAACACAATGAGATCAGAGCACACCTYCCCAGGTGTAGTCTTTAAAAAACACAATTGTTTTCATAATATCCACTTATAAATACCTCCATTTGTAAAACAGATAAAACACCATATTCCTAAACATAAACATTTCAGGATTTGACTGATGGATGGATTGAGCTCATGTGTGGTTCTGGGGAGGAAACTGTTCTTGAGTCTTGTCTTTGATGCACCTGTAGCACCAGCCAGCAGATCCAACAAGTGAGAACTGAGGTCACTGATAATGTTTTGTACCTCCAGAGGCAGCAGGAGGTGTAAGTCCATCCTTACACCTCCTGCTGTAAGGTACAGGTCAACTTCCAGTACCTTCCAGTGATCCAGTTTGTCAGCAGGTTCTGGRTGAACGAGCTGCAGAAGGTCAGCAGCAGTTTAGTGTCCAGGTTGTTCTTTCTGCAGTCCATGCTGGGCCTTCTGGATGACAGCTGTGATGTTGTGAGTCCAGGAGAGACCAGCAGAGATGAGGACACTAAAGAAACTTGAAGGTGTGGAACCTCTCCGCTCCTCGCTGTTGATGTAGGGTGGGTGGTGAGTCAGGTCTTTGCTGCCTGAGTTCCCYTTGTTCTAACTCGGATTATTAATCCGAGGCAGTATGGGGCAGTACACAGCCCTGAAGATGCACAGTGTACAGCCCAGAGAGGACCCAGTGCACAGTTCTGAGGTTGCCCAGACCACAACCCTGAAGATGTCAAGTACACAGAACTGAGAAAGGTCTTGATCAAGTCTCAGAGTTTTGGACCGATTGATCAGGGAGTTCCATATCCAGACATTTGTGAGAGGGGTCCAGACTATAAACCAGAATATCTGGGATGATGGTGTGGAAATGTATCTAATAAATACCATCAAGTAATGGGTTTATGCTCCAGGTTATCATRCTTCCAATAGATTCCACTTTTCTTCCTCTGACTTTGTTTACATACAGGGATTATTTYACTAACAAAACAAACACAACAGGACTGTTAATTTTTCTAATTAATCAATCAGTTAATTAAATAGAWTTTTGCAGTTAATGATTGCAGTTAGTGATTTGTGCTGGCAAAATGTGTCTGAATGTGCACACAGTGCAAAACGACTCAAAGTATTATAAGAGGTATGTATTTAGAAATAATCCTTTTCATTTATTTTAACATTGATGGTTTTTGGTGCCAGGAGATCCCTTCATATAYAGCTGGAGGATTGTCTTTTTTAAACAGATGGAGTTTCTGATGACATCATTCCAGCAACAACTGGACTTCTGTTCTGGAGCTGAGGACGTTTTGTTTTTCATCTGATAAGCTTTTTCCTCCAAACCACAAGAAACTCCTCAGATGTGAAACAAAATGTCCATTTGCTTTTTTGTTTTTTGTGCTGGGTCTGTTGAGACACCAGTATTGAGTGAACACAGAGAGCCTGATGAGCTGATGTACGTGTTCAGGGTCATTAGCTTTGTTAGCAAACTGGCAGTCTGCTGCGTATTTGATCTGTTTTAACTTGAGGTTAACAGGTTTTGACTGAGACAATCATACAAGACCAAGCTTTGCCTAACAATTTTTATTTTCAAGTTTTCTTAGAGGAATATCTAGTTTGTTACAAAGTCTTTATTAATTTCATGTTTCTATTGATGTATTTTCACGTGGAAGAGTTAGTGATAGCTGTCACTTCCTGTTTGTTTKGAGCTGATTGGTGTTACATGTCATACAAACAAAAGGATCTTCCTGACCATGATCTGTCACACAGTCTCTGTGAAACTCAGTCACGTTCAGACAAGTTGGACTTTACTAAGCTGAGGACACGCCTGATCTTAACCTGGTCCGGCCTAGGTCTGCAACGATTAATCGATTAATCGACGACTAAGCGATTTATTAAAATAATCAATGACTAATTTAATAATCGATTAATCGTTTTCTTTTTTTTTGTTCTTTGTTTTTCTCTCCAAACTGCTTT